TGGACCTGCTTGAGATGCATCTGTGGATGCATGACAAAGTACAGTTGGCCTTCCTGACTGCATCCCCACACTGCCGGCCCACGTTCATCTTGGCATCAATGACGACTCCAAGATCCTTTTCTGCCTCTGTACTGACGAGAAGGGAGTTCCCCAGTCTGTAGGTATGGTGCTGGTTCTTCCTCCCCAGGTACATCACCTTGCACTCAGTGTTGAATCCCATCCTGTTCTCATCTACCCACCCCTGTAACCTGTCTAGTCCAATTGCAGCCTATTCCTCCCGTCTAGCATGCCCACGTCCCCCCACATCTTGGTGTCGTCAGCAAATTTCAACAGGGTGCTTTTTACCCCTTCCTCCAAGTCACTGATGAAGATGGACCAAGCCCTGTGGGACCCCACTGCCCACATCCCTCCAGGTCAAAAATGACCCATCCACCACCATGCTCTGGGTGCGGCCCTCCAGCCAGTTAGCAACCCATTTGACTGTGTACATGTCAACACCACAGTCCCCTAGTTTTTTAATGAAAACGGGGGGAGAGACAGTGTCAAAGGCCTTCCGAAAGTCCAGAAAGACTATGTCCACTGCTACCCCTGCATCTAAGGATTTGGTGATCTGGTCATAGGAGGCCACCAGGTTGGTCTGACAGGACCTGCCTCTAATGAACCCGTTTTAGCTGCCCCTAAGCATAACCTCCCCTGCTGGCCCCTTGTGGACATGTGCCAGAATAATTCTCTCAAAAAGCTTACCCAGGATCAAGGTAAGACTAACTGGGCTATAGTTTCCTGGGTCTTCCTTCCTCCCTTTTTTTGAAGATGGGAATCACGTTGGCCCTCTTCCAGTCCTCTGGCACCACTCTTGAAAGTTCTTTCAAGCTGCTTGCAAGTTTTATTACATCACACTCCAAAATACCAGGATTTTTGGTACATGTATATGTGAAGCTGAGAAAAGCCCACTCTGTTTTTCCCCCATTTTTCAAGGCAAAGCACTAGAGAGCATGCCTCCCTACTCAGCTGGAGCAGACAGCTTTGACCAAAGCTAGCTCACTCACCCTGTCAAGAGGAAGGAGGAAAACAGGGCATGCAAAGCATGGGACACTGGGGGACCACAAGCATTAAGTTCAATAAACTGATTTAAACCTAAATCATGAGACACTTCCTTAGCTTGCTCCTGCAGCCATCTGGCTAAGGGAAGCTAAATTCAGGGGCATCTGAACCCCAAGCCTCTGGGCTTGGGCCTGTATGTAGGATGCTTGCCAAAGGATTTGGAAGCATCTGAAGCCCCAGGTTGGGGTGAAGGATGTTAGCCAGTAGTAGGGCCACATATGGTTCTTGAATGACTCACGGATTTGGAATTGATTTGGCTAAATTTGACTTGGAACATGAAAAGGTTTCCTTAAAAGAAACCAACACCTAAATCAGTTAGGTCTGATTCTACATCCATCCAGGTTCATCTTAAACTGGTTTTAGCCATTTTGAAAGTGATTTATGTGCACTGAACTTCTTCTGTTACAGATTTGAACCAGTTTCTGCTCACTTATACTAGTTTATGTGCAACTTCCGTACCTAGCCAAGGTGCTTTCAGAACACAGGGCCAGCTACACTAGCGAGGAAGTGAAGAATAAACTTGTTCAGTGAACACACAGGAGTAATTCATTATTTCTTGCATGTTATGAAAGATTAGGTCTCACCCCTCCAACTCAACCAAAACCAGGCTCAGATGTAGGGTGAAAAGGAAGAGCTAGATTCTGTGCTATTTCTGTTGACAGAAGCAGCACAAAAGGCACAATTCAGGAGGAAGGACAGCAAGGCAACCATGCCTCTTACTGCCCAAATAACAGGCTCCAGAGCAAGGGAGAGTAGCCCTAAGAGTCACCAGAGCAGTGCTACCTCCGCTGTTGTGCAGTTCAGCATCCCTATAGCATTACAGCATCAGTTCATGCCATGGCCCTTGCCTCCACACCCTCCTTCAGCCTGCAGAAGTTCCCCTTTAGCACACTTCAGCCTCTTCACATCTCCTGCAAGCCACTGGAATGGGAGGTGGAATCCAGCCCTGGAAGGGTGTGGCATATGGCTATTAACTACACTTGTAAAATGAACACCACGCACAGGTTTACTCATGAGAGATCATTTCAAAAGACACCCTGGTCGAGCTGTGGAGACAGAGTTTGCCTTTGTTTTTACAGGCACATACTATATTTGTGCACACCCAACTCACTTGTATAGATCTATTACTGGTTTTGCTGCATCTTTGTATTTTCTTAGCCTGGCAGCAACAGCATCAGGTTTGTCATCTTCCTGCTGGATTAATGGCTCACCTGTGATGTCATCGATCCCCTGCAAAGGCAAACATTGAAATGAGTAAGGCAACACTTAAAGAAAATGCTCCAACATAAAGCAATGATATACCAAGGTCTCAGAGTTGCACAGGAGGAAGTAAAGGCAAAATCAGCTAAGCAGAAACTGTATTCATGCAAGATATGATCATCAGAAATATTGAAATGTATCAGATAAAAAAGTAGCAACAGGATAAACACTGTTATAGGACATTACTGCATTTATTGCTGTGATACAAAATAAAAACAAACTAAAATAGGAAAAAAATATATTCACATACATACAAAATTTTTTTTTTTTTTCCCAGAAATCTGTCGTTTGCATTGTGGCTTGCTCAGAATTTAATACTGTTGATCAGGGCTTTCTAAACTTGATACCCGAGACGCATTTTTTCTTGGTTAAAGCTGGCAGCACACTTAAATCTTACGCTCAGAGACATCTATATTTTTTCAAAACATAACAAAATTCCAAACCCTGCACAAAGGAAAGCATACCAGTGCTAAGATGTAACAAAATAACAGAGCTGTACCCTGCTCCTTCCACTGTCTGCCCACTCCCAAGACCTGGTCCATCTCTCAGGGAGCAAAGATACCCCCACTTCTGAAGCTGCTCCTGGCAGGGTCTTGCACTCTAGCAGCCACCACCATCTCCCCTCCTACCAGCCCCAGGGGCACTGAAGGAGTGGAGGGGATGACCCAGACTGCAAACTGCGGCTCCATGGGTTCTTCTGCTCGCCTGCCCACACTGCTGGGAGCTGGGGTGGGAGGGAAGAGGGCTGGCATGGGGGCTGCCTTGGGGACAGGGAAGGCAGCAGCAGTGGTGGCAGTCCCCAAAGGAGCAGCTGCAGGTGCCACTGGGAGTAACTGGGACAGGCACAGGGTGCTGAATGGGAGAGGAGAGCATCTGCCTCCTCACATAGGGAGGGATTTTATGGCACACATCTGTCACTTGCATCACTCTAGCATGCCATGGCAAACCCTTTGGGAACCCACGCTATAGATGATCTTACATGTACGAGAGGCGGATTGAATTCCATGTTATACACTCTTCCGCTAGCTGGGTGAATCCAACGAGCACTGAGGCGGTCTTTCAGCGTCTCAAATGGGATGTTTAAACTGATAACTAGATCCAGCTCACAGATCCTGTCAAGTGCTTCAGCTTGTACTAATGTTCTAGGAAAACCTGGACACAGAGGAGAAAACCAAGTGAAACCACAAGCAATAGTCAGACAATTTCAATACTTATTGGCAGATCATAAATAAATTCCACAATATTAGTGCTGATGGGGGTATTGGGGGAGAGCCAGAGATCCACTTATAACAACACAAAGAATACAAAGGCAGTGAAGGCACACACATTTTAAAAAAAAAGTCATAAAGTTATACTCCATTCCCATGGTATAGCAACTCTGTTGATGTACCTTTAACTTTCAGTAATTAAACGCCTGTAAATTGAACACACTATGCAAAAAGTACATACTCTTCAACAAGTGTTTCTAGTACATCTCCTCTAAAGGTTTATATATAGCCATCTAAGCTATCCAAGTTCCTAAAAGCCATTGGTTTGTTTTACCAATCTAAAAATAACTCTGCAGTGCAAAGATTACAAATGGCCGTGTTAATGCACTGGATTGGGTTTTAGGATATGGAAATTCAACTCCCAACCAAGGTGACAGGTATGCTGCTAAGTCACTTTCTAAAACAGAGACAATACATCAGAAGGATACTGCAAGGTCCTCAGTAATATTGGCAGGAGTGGAAAAAGCCATCAGTACCTAAAATTGGCTGCGGCCAACGTGAGAGCACCACAACACCAAGAAAAGGGCCTCATAGTGTATCATGTATTTCAGGATTGCCCAGCTTCTAAGCAGCCAGGGACCACACTAATGGGAACCTCAAAGAGACCCCTCCCCACTGCACCATGTGGATGCCACCACCCCATCACTGTACTACATACCCTTGTCCTACCACTGCATTGCCTGCCCTCTCCCCCCACACCACCACTGCACTGTGCGCCTGCATAGCCCCCAGGCTCACCCTCAGCTTCCCCAATGGCACTGTTCTGCCCCAGCCCCTAGTGTGGGGGCAGGCAACAGAAGCCAAAGGAGGGAGACAGGGGGGAGGAAAAGAATGGTGGCTGGGTAGGAGCCCGGGGCTGCAACTTAAGGCCTCATAGGCAGCCAGTTGATCTATCTGCAAGTTGCATAAAGGTAGGAAGAGATGGGAATCCTGGCTTGTACTGTGCCCAGTGAAGACTGGAGGTCACTGAACTCCCACTGGAATCAACAGGATATGGCACTCAGCACCGCACAGAATCAGTGTAATAGTGTAAGCTATGAACTTTAATAAGTGACTGTGCATAACCATGGTTACATATTAAGTTTGCATCCGTTGGACTTGGAGAGAAAATAGATCAGTGACAGATCCTGCTAGGCCAGCAAGTTAATGGGATACGGCTGAACAGCAATTTAGGCAAGGTGCATGCCAGAGCCCTTCGTGAAGCATGCCATTTTTCTGAGACTGTCCATAGCTCTTATTACTGTACCCTAAGTGCACTACAGGAAAGGCAGACAAATTACTAGTCCCGGTCACTGACTATCATTCTTAACTGAAACAACATGGCAGGAGGCAGCTTTGAGGAAGAAAGGGTTATTCTCTCACAGGACTCAGCAGCATTTTGCTTGCCAATGAAACAGTGGTAGTGCATTTCCAAATGACTGCTGACCATTCTCGACCAGAACAACCGTTTCAACGTACCGACTTGAAAGCCAAGGGTGATATGCACTTATAAGCAAGAACAAGACAGGGATCCAAGAACATGGAGTAACCACTTGATGAGGAAAACATGTAAAGGAGCATCTATAAGCGAAGCAGACAAACCCACTAACTTCAGCTCCAGGTTCAAGCTATAAAAGCATTCAGGGATAGCTGTTTATGGACTGCACTGACCCAGAGTTAAAGGGACCTCAAAGGTCAGTTAATCCAACACCTTGCACAGCTTTGGGATGACTATTGCTAGCCCATCCCAGACAGGTGCCTAACCACCCTCCTCTTGAAAAGTCTCCAGTGAAGAGAATTCCACATCTTCCCTGGCAGCTGGTTCCATTGCTCCATGATTTCCAGTTAAGAAGCTTCCCCCAATCCCTCCTCAAGATTTAATCCAGAAATATTTTGTTGCAATGTAAACCCATAACCTAATATCCTGCCCTGTGGCAAGGAAAAATGACTGTTCGTGGCAGCCTTCCAGATATTTGAAAACTGCTATCAAGTCGCCCCTTAGATCTCCTTTTCCCTGAACTGAAGTTACCCCCATCGATATCTGTTCATTTATATTTGGTCTTTCTTCCCCCAAGATACAAGGCCCTATATATTGGTCTGTGCTGAATTTCATCCTGCTAATCTGCAGCTCAGTTGTCCAGCCTAGGTGTCCACATTTTCAAGATCCCTTTGGAAGACAGGATTACAATTCAGGGTTGTAAGACCTCCCAGTTTTAAGTCCAACTCAAAAAAATATATATCAGGAAAACGCTGAATTAAAGTTATTAATAAAAACAGCACTACCACCAGACCCAGAACAGACCCTACTTGAAACTTTCTGCCATTCTGACAAAGCTCTAACAGTGAAGGAGGATATGCATGCATACACAGGGATACAGAAAGGAGGGAGCACTGCAATGAAACTCTGCTCTAGTGGAGCTTCAGGCTTCAATGCTGCTGGGCTGCTCTGCTCCTCTGCAGCTCCTCTTCCACAGTATTAGTCCTGTGGCATTCAGTCTATCAAGAGAGGTGGTCCCGATTTTCATGAGACAGATGGATATAATCTGCATTGTTTGTTTGTTTCTGGGGGTGGGCGGCTGGTTTGTTTGGTTTTTTAAACTAGAACTTTATAAAATTGAGGGCTCTGTACAGAACGCACCAGAGGCACCTGCCCGTTTTAAGCAGCCCTGCAGATAGTGCATTCAAATTCTTCCATCTCACTAAACAGTGTCCCACTTGGAATGAAAGATAATCTGGGGAAAGAAAAATAACAACAGCAACCACAACACCTAGGCTCTGTTTACAGTTCTGCCCCAGACCCCCACTAGTTGTGCACAGAAAAATGAAACAAACTTCCCCATCTGCTAAATGAGGAGGATACCCCCCTCCCCCACACTGCACAGTGGTGTTGTCATTAGTGTTACTAGGGTGAGGCAAGTGAGACGACAGCCCCAGGTACCAATACGGCCCCTTCCCCCAGGAGTCTTTGCCACAGCCATAGAAGTTGGGCAGGTGCAGCCCGTGCCCAGCAACGTCTCTGGAGCAAGGGGAAGGAGGGTGGAATGATACCCCCTCCCCAGGGAGGTTTTGCTATGGGAGGCACAGCCCTGCCCTGGGGAGGGCAAACAGGGAAGCAGGCACGGCCCCTTGGGGAGCCTGTGCCTCTACCTGCCACTTAGCGGCAGCAGTAGCAGTTGCTGCTCAAGTAAGAGCCCTGGCAGTAAGACTCCTCTCCCACCTTCCAGGACCGTCAGCATAATCCCACCAGCCCCAGGCACTCAAGCTGGCCGCATCTCTGTGTTACAAGGCCTGGTTCAGCAGTGGTCATAAAGCATGCCAGTGAAAGTAAACTAGCATCACCACCACCACCTCAATAACCAGACAGCCACTGTTGAACAATTAACATCTACACCCACATTGTAAAAAGTCCTTTTAAAATCACTATACACCAAAAAGCTGTGGGAAATACTCCTTAGGCAACACAATTCTGATTTTACCATTCAGTAATGGCTGCCTGCTAACATAAAAAAAGCCAGGGACTGGAGATGACAGTCTCAGTAGAAGAACAAAATTAATGTCACAACATTTGAGGTGGTCTCCTGGGATAAGACGTTGCTGCATAGCAGCTTTCAGAGATAGTTCATATGCTGAAGCCTCACACTACTTATGTTATAGCAAGTTTACCATGGACTTCAATGGGGACGGGATTTTAGCCCACTTCTCAGTTCCTATGTCAGTAGTGACAGTTCAAAATCCTTCAGTACAAGATTGAGGCACAGATGGAAAGAGAAGCTGAAGGCGGAAGTGGGCGGGAAGTAGGTAAAAGCTATCCATGAAGAAAACTAGCAAACCTGGTTGTGGATTTATCTAGGACAGCATGTGCATGAATGAACAGTCATAATTTAGTTGCCATCAGAGGAAAAAAATGCCTTAACATTCGTAAGACCGATCATGTTAAAGGACCTTTTCATACCAGAGCTCCTGCCTTTTCCCACCACACAGTAGGAAACACTCCCTCAAAATGGTTTGAGTGGACTCATATTTGGTCCTAGCAACAATTTAGCCACACCAGACTAGAACTGCTACACACGTGGCTGAACAGGGAGAGAAGTTCCACAGGCAGTAATGGTCTTACTTATAAGATAGGGCAAGAAAAGATTAATCCCATGTTGTGTAGTTTAAGACCCAGAAAACTTTCCAAGTTTTAGAGGCAGCAAATCTGGGATTTGAAGACAGCGTTCTCCGCTTGGGATTTTGCCAGCCGAATACACTTCCAAGACAATAAAACCTTGGAAGAATGCAGACCGCTGGGGTCAGCAAGATTCCACCTAAGGACGCTTCACTTTGGCTCTTCTAACACTACACAATTCAGGTTGCTGCACATTATAAACTCAGAGCACTAGAGGGCTGTACGGCTGTATATGCTAACATGTTCTGAGAGCTGGATTTCACATTTTGCAAGGAAAGGCTAGACAGAGAGAAGAGAAGAGGTCTCTCATCACTTGAATGTAGGGGTGGAGGGGGAAGTAGAGACTTTTTCCCGTCTATGATTTACAATAGTAGTGTTGTTGTAGCCACAATGGCCTGGGGGCAGGGGGTGTTATGCAAGATTCATGATTAGTTTGACATCATCTTTTATTGAACCTGCTTTATAGTTGAGAAAGATGGTGGACAAGCTTTCAGGCACAAAAGGTTCTTCCTTAAAACTAATATACCTTTTACTAGACACAAAAAGAAACAAAGGCTTAGAGACAATGGCTTCATGGCTTATTATAAACTTGCCTGCTCTGTTCAGCTCTGTTCCACAGGTGATAAGACCTTTCTCTCTCTCAAAAAAAAAAGCTATTATTCTTTTACATAATTACGTTGTAGCTATGGCAGCTATTCTTGACTGAGATCTAAGGGTTCGGATAGGCTTACTTCTCC